ACATAACCTGATTTTACTCAGTATTCCTGTACCGTTCAAGGAACTGATCCAAAACTCACTGAAGTTAATGGAAGGCTTCTAGGCCTTTAAAGACAGATTTTAAATCACACTATGCACCTATCTGCATCTTTAGGTGCCTAAATACCTTTTCAAATCTGGCTCTTGGTGTTATATTAAAATTAACTCCATGACAGTTTATTCTGAAAAAAATATATTAATAATGAGTCATGAACAGTTAAAAGGCTAGGAAGAAAATTAACTTATGAAAGGATCCTTGTTGAGTTTCAAAAAGACAGTCTGTTAGAAAAAATATTTCTTGCAAAACAAATGTGTCAAAGTCAGTATTAACTTAATAACAGGAGAATATTATATGAATGATTTAACAGCAGCCTCATCAGGCAATATTTGTATTGGTACAAATGCATGTAAACTGCATGTCTTTGTTTACTAATCTGATCTAACTATTCTGACCATCAATTTAGTTACAATGAACATCAAGTTCTTTGCTTCACAAAGGCAAATCTGGCAGCGTTCTCAGGAAAATGAGAAGGTGTATTTCCCAAACTAGACTGTATAATTTGGCAGTTGTGTTTTTCCTTCCCTTAGTGGAAAAAGCAATAATCTTACCACATGAAGTCACTTTGAAGGCATCCCAAATAAAGGATTAGACACAGTAAGGACATTAATTTATGTTGAAGAAAGAAAATACTATTTTATAAAAGAATTTAGAAGAGTGCAAAAATCATCCAACAGGCATCAGTTAAACCTCCCCTGGAATAGTTTCACCCCAGAACAAAACTTAGACAAACTGAATACTGCATACCAGGTGATAGAGGTTAACATCTCCAGATGGAAAACTTCATTTTTAACAATCCACCCAAAAACAGATTTTCCCAAACCAACAAGAAGAGAGCTGTAGTCTGCAGCGTAAAAGGAACACTTCTGTGTCTATAGAACATTGGTGTTCCCAATCCTCCCTCTAAAAGATCCCTTTTAAGGTAACTGTAGTTAACTGAGTGGCCTATCAAGGGTCTAGTAGTCCCACTCTACAATTCTAGGTAATGGTGGGAGGGTGTGCTTTGAGTCACTCAACCAAAGCTGCTCCAAATGATTAAGGAGTAATACCAACACACAATGAAAGAAATCCTGGCAAAGTCCTCCTCAACCAAGATAGGCTCCCATATTATGTGCACTCCAGGAAGAAGAATGTATCAGGGAAACAAAAACAGGCTCATCTCAGATAAATTAGGTTGCAGAAGAATGTCACTTTCTAACATAAGAAGTCAATGGAAAGCAAGCAAGCTTCATGTTGTTCAACAGCTAACCAGTCTGTCTGTGCAGTAGTGGTGTTAGCTAACTCTTGTTTAACTTCCCTAGCTGGAGTTCCCATGTTTTAAGTAAAAACATGTAGTAGCTGGCAAATATAAATATTCTCCTGAAAAAAATATATATTTAAAGATAGTATTTTGTAAATGACATTCAAATTAAAATGGTTGTTACACGGTGAGCCATAGAATGAAACAGTCAAAATTAAACCACAAACTCCTGTTCTATAAACATTTTCAGGAAATACTGAAATCCTCTTGCAAGATGCTTATCTTAAAACTAGGAGCCTAATGTTTTATAGCCTATAATAATCTTATTTAGTTCTCTGAAACAACAGCGCATTCCATTAATGCAGTGGTTCTCAACCTATTTACCATTGTGGACCGCATATGCTCTCTGTGTTATGTGGGTCACATACATATGGATATATACTACCTGTATGGTGCTGAGAATGTCACATGGGCTACAGCTGTGCGCTGACTGGGCCATAAACTGAGAACCACTGCTTTAATGATACATAAGTGCAATTATGAAGAGCACTGTCTTAAAAGACTCTGGACTAAAACCTTACATCCAATTTGACAATGTATAGTTTTAAAGTCTTCCTATTATCTAATAATTTTAATAAGGTGTTTTTTGAATCCTAGATAATAGAATATTCATATGAACTTAAAGGCTGTGGGGCAGTATACTGGTACTTTCCTCCACCAACCCGCTACTCAGTGGTAAAAGGGTTCCTTTCACACAGCTGGGTCATTGCTCTGCCTGATCTTAGACAATGTGAGCAGAGAAGAGCACTGGTGGAATATGGGGTACTTTTTGTACTTATAGGCTTGTCTATCCAGACATGCAGTGCATGGAATGCTGCAGAGTGAAACAGCAGTATATCAAAGTGTACTACAGAACTTTTAGTGCATGGCAGCAGAGTCCACACAGCCACTTAGTGGGCAGCAGGCTAGAGCACTGTAGATTTACACCCTAGCTTGCTGTGCACTAGATCACCATACAGACAAGCCCATGTTATTAAAGCATGACCTGGCCTGCACAATGGAGGAAAGGCTGTTAACGCTACCCTTACCAATATAGGGCAGCAACATGGTGGTGGGGGAAGAAGTGGTCAGGAGGAACACAAAGGGGGAGGAAGTTATAGCAAAGATCAGCATTCAACTTCCTTGCTGCACCCAAAACTGCACTAAAAACAAGCATATCTGTTTTAACAGAATTGAAACTGATATATTTGCTAAGTGTTGATATTTTAAAAGGGATGCCATCAGCTTTAAATCTATCACCTAAAAAAAGTTACCTGCTTGAGTGCCTCACCAAAAATTTGGTGTTTTACAATCACATTTTCCTTTTAAAAATATTTTGCTTCCTTTTTCTGTGTGTAAGAACCACACAAAAACAAAAGATAGCTGACTGCACAAAACGTGCTGATAAATGCAGTTAATCTATGGAAGATTTTTCTCTCTCACAGTCCTCTTTGTAATCATAAAAAGTGAAGATTTCAGACAAAAGAGCAATTCTGATGTTGGTGACTGTTCTTAAATTCTCCTGTAATACTCAACTTCAACCAGAACTTTAGTCTTTCCTTTAAAGCACTGGGCTTCCCATTAGAATGTTGCCTTTTAGATACTACTGTGGAACCACAGCTCAGCAATACCTTTGGTCTTGGTTAGTAGGTTTAGGCTATTTTTCCTAATGTTATGGTAAGTTAATCAAGCACAGAACAAGTTTTAATTTCTATTCACATTCCACAAGAGGAATACATAACTATACCCAGGATTCAGCAAGGCACTTAAATACTAACATTAAACATGTAAATAATCCCATACATTTTGCTGAATATCTGGACATACAAGATGAAGATCAACCTTAAGCATTTTTAATTTATTTTAAATACACTACACCTTCTATCTGAAGATCCAAAAGAGCTTCACAAACCATTAATGAATTTTAGCTCAATACCTCTGTGAACTAAGAAAAATATAATGCCCATTTTATAGAAGGAGAAACTGAGAAGAGATTATGTGGCTTGCTGACAGGCACACAAACTGTCCATGATAGAGCAGGTAAAAAAAGAACATACACTTTCGGATTCCAGGTCAAATACTTTATCAAGCTGATCCTCCCCTCCTAATCAAATTTATTATACTAGTTCATAGAAAGAATGCCTACATGGCAAAAAAACCAAACCAAACCAAACAACTCCGCAGCAGCAAGTCTCAGTTCAGTGGTGGCAGGCAACATATGCACAAAGAGGAAGGGAATAAGATAGGCTGCAATCATAAGTAAAGATTTCAACAAAATGTTTGTTTTTGGAGCTCTTGACCCGCCCCCCGCCAAACCAATCAGCAGGAGAGCAGAAAAGTCCAAATAAAAATAATTTAAAATGGGGAATTTTTCTAAAAAACACTGTACATACTATTTAAATGGTGCGCTATCAGAATAGTAATTTTATAAAGTTAGTCAATTTTTTAAAAAAAAGTAGAAGCTGACAAAGTCTCCTTAATGTATTAAAAATCCTGAAGTGGAAATCAGCTCATTTTACGCAAAAAGAAAAACTGCTAGCTGACAACTATCTTGTAGCCAATGTAACAGTTATTGAGAAACAAGTATCAGAAGAAGAAAAGTTAAGAATTTGTAAAATTTCATTCTTTCATTCAAATCCAGAGTATATTCTACACTCACTCTTGCATAGAGTTTACAATGAAATTAATTACTGGGAAATAGGATTTCTTGTAACTTCATTAATGCTTTTCTTCAATAGTGGTATGTCATGTTCCAGGGAACAAGTTACATGACATTAAGTTTGTTACATTTGAAGAAAGGAATGCAGTTTAGAAATCTTAACTAGGAATTACTGGTCAACCACAATAAACTATGGTATTAAAAGTACGTTCTCTTTTCAATAACAAAGGCAGCTCGGTGGAGTGTTGTAAATGGTGTTTATGATACGTGTAGAATTATTTCTTTAGCTATTTGCACAGTTTTTATTTTGATGGTATAAAACAAATTTGTCCAGAGCTAATATAATAAAGAATAAAATTCTATTAAAGTTTAGGTTCAAGAAGCTTGAATCTTGAGTCCAAAAACACCAAAATGTGAAATCTGACCAGATAGTAACGTTGAGAAAGCATCATGTGGCACTGTAAATTCAACTTAATTTTGCAGATGCTTACAGATGTCTCACTAAACTTTATCTTGATTTTAACTGAAACTTTTTTGTAATTTCATATTGCTAAACAGAAGGAATTTAATCAGAGAGTACAGACATATTATCCTTTATCACAGCACCACTAGAGACTAGGAAATATATTCAACAAGTAATTTCTCTCTAAAAAATAAACAAACAGCCTACATACAGAAACAATATATCCCTTACCTGACAGAATTATGTTGCCTGTTTTCTATTTTCATTAAAATTTGCACATCTGACTGAGGAGACATTGTATATATTTTTAATCTGGAAAAAAAAATGGATGAACTCTAAGCAAACCACATTAAAGAAAAGGTCTAAACCACTTTTTACCGTTAAGAGATTTACAAACTTTTAGAAGCCTACAACCAAAACAGCCTTCCTGTCAATGTAAATACAGGTTTGCCACTAGCCAGAATTTTAAGACAGTCTATGAATCAGAGCTTGGATTGCAAATGTATTTCTCTACTTTTTCCAGATAAGGCATTAACACTACCATCATTTAAATTAATTCTTTGGATTTTTTAATCATTTCATTTGTATCATCAGCCAATTTCTTTGAGTGCTGCTAGTTTAAATTCAATGACTTTAGAATCATACAAATGTAGGGCTGGAAGGGACCAAGTAAACTAGATCATCCCTGAGAGGTGTTTCTCAAACTTGTTTTTAAAAGCTTCCAATGATAGGGATTCCATGACCTCCCTTGGAAGTCTATTCCACAGCTTAACTACCCCTTATAGTCAGAAAGCTTTTCCTTATATCTAACGTAAATCTCCCTTGATGCAGATTAAGCCCATTACTTCTTGTCCTACCTTCAGTGGACATGGAGAACAAGTGATCACTGTCCTCTTTACAATAACCCTTAACATACTGGAAGACTTATCAGGTCTCCCCATAGTCTTCCATTCTCAAGATTAAACATGCCCTCTTTTTTTAAACTTTTCCTCATAGGTCAGTTTTCTAAACCTTTTATCACTTTTCTTGCTCTCCTCTGGACTCTTTCCAATTTGTCCACATCTTTCCTAAACTGTGGTGCCCAGAACTGGACCCAGTACTCCAGCTGGGGCCTTACCAGTGCCAAGGAGAGCAGGACAATTACCTCCTGTGTCTTATGTAGATAATGTTTTCACTCCTCAGCTCACAGGGAGCCCAGAAACATATTAGCCTTTTTTGCAGCTGCAGTACATTGACAACTCATACAGTTTGTGGTCCACTATAACCCCCAGCTCCTTTTCAGCAGTACTACCATCTAGAAAGTTATTCCCCATTTTGTAGTTGTGCATTTGACTTTTTTTCCTTCTTAACTGAAGTAATTTGCACTTGTCTTTATTGACTTTCATCGCAATGAATTCAGACCAATTCTCCAATTTGTTAAGGTCATTTTGAATTTTAAACCTGTCCTCCAAAGTGCTTGCAACCCCTCCCGGGTTGGTGTCATCTGCAAATTTTATCAGCATACACTCTACTCCATTATCCAAGTCATTAATGAAAATATTGACTAGTACCAGACCCAGGACTGACCCCTGTGGGACTCCATTAGACACAGCCTCCCAATTTGATAGCAAACCATTGATAACTCTAAGTACAGTCTTTCAGCCAGTTGTGTATCCACCTTAGAGTAATTTCATCTAGATCACATTTCCCTAGTTTGCTATGAGAATGTCATGTGGAACGGTGTCAAAAGCCTTACTAAAATCAAGGTATAGCGTATCTACTGCTTCCCCCCATCCACTAGGTCAATAATCGTATCAAGAAAGGAAATTAGATTGGTTTGTCATTATTTATTTTTGACAAATCCATGCTGACTATTCCTTATAATCCTATTATCCTTCAGGTCCTTACAAATTGATTGTTTAATAATTGCACCAGTATCTTTCCAGGTACTGAAGTTAGGCTGGCTGGTTTATAATTCCCTGGGTCCTCCTGGTTCCCCTTTTAAAAGATACGTACTATGCGTCCCTTTTCTATTCTTCTGGGACCTCTCCTGTCCTCCAGGAGTTCTCAAAGATAATTGCTAATGGCTCCACGATTGCTTCAGCTAGATCCTTAAGTACCCTAGGATGAATTTCATCAGGCCCTGCTTACTTGAATACATCTAATCTATCCAAATGTTCTTTAACCTGTTCTTTCGGCTTACGTTTCTTTGCCTTGGTTGTTAATATTGTGTTGAGTATCTGCTCACCATTAACCTTTTTAGTGAAGACTGAAGCAAAATAGGCATTAAGCACTTCAGCTTTCTTGATGTCATCTGTTATTAACTCTCGTTCTCCGATAATCAAAGGACCTACACTTTCCTTTGTCCTTTTCTTGCTCCTAATGTATTTAAAGAACCTCTTCTTATTGCCTTTTATGTCCCTTGCCATGTGTAACTTATTTTTTGTGCCTTGTGCTGTTCTTTTGTATTCCTCCTTATCAATATCGCTATGTTTCAACTTTTTGTAGGATTCCTTTTTAATTTTCAGGTCATTCTTCTGATCTTTCCTTTGCATCGGAATAGTTTACAGTTGTGCCTCCAATATTGTCTCCTTGAGGAATCACCACTGCCCTGAACTCTCTTTTCCCTTAGATTTTCTTCACGAGACCCCACCTACCAGTTCTCTGAGTTTGTTAAAGTCTGCTTTTTGAAGTCCTTATTCAGCTACTCTCACTCCTTCCTTTCCTTAGAATCATGAAATTTACCTAATTTAGTTTCAGTCAATAAGTATTAATGAGGTGGCTTTCATCACAAAGATGGCGCGTGCACTATTAGTTAGGAATCCAATTCTGAATGGCGAAAGTGGAAAACTGACAGTTTGACAGAATTTATTTGAATAGTTTGGTTATTTTAAAATCAGTTAAGTAAAATTACTAATGGTTTTTAATACATACCTTTGACGAATAACAGGATCTGATTCTTCAGGATCAAGGTAAGGTTTAAGGATTTCACCTAGTGTTTTATCATCGGGCACCCTTTGGCCAAAAAGATAAAAATGCAGTTTATTAAGTATCATTCAAAAAGAAATATTAAAACAATTTTAAGGAAATGATATTTCCATATTTAAATTGATATAACACCAGCAGGTAACATCTGGAAAAGGTGCAATGTACATCAACATAGCACAAGCTAGCAATGGATATTATCAGCCCCAGCACACAAAGTATGTCTATGCTGCAATTAAAAACCTAAGGCTGTCCCGTGTCAATTGGGCCTTGCAGAGATCTGGCTAAGGGGCTGTTTAACTGCAGTGTAGACGTTTGGGCTCAGGCTGGACCCTGGGCTCTAGGACCCTGAGTGGGGAGGGTCCCAGAGATCAGGCTCCAGCCTGTGCATCTACACCACGATTAAATAGCCCAGTGAACCTGAGTCAGCTGGTGCAGGCCAATCATGGGTGTCTAACTGCAGCACAGACATACTCTCATTCAACATTAGGACTTAGCTGGCACCTGCAGGAAGGAATCAGAGACCCTGCCGCTTATCCTTCCCCATGCCTGCAGCTGGAAAAGCAACTTCCAGTCCTTGCAGCCCTGAGAGCAAGTGGAGAGGGCCTACTTCTGAGCTTTCCTACCCCAAATAGGCATGGGGAGAGAAGAGGTAGTTTTTGTTTATTAGGGAGAGTTGCTGTTTTTCTGCTTTCCTAAAGGCACCTTCCAGGGAGGGGGTTAGTAGCATCTGCTACAAAGGCAACATTGCTTCCTTTCCATCCTCTGGTGTGGGAGAGGATTTCCTGCAGGGAGCGGGATTTTCTCTGAAGATCAAGGAAAACATTGGGAGTATGCAAAACTCCTCTATATTAGCATGCTGATGCATGTGGACAGCAAGCATCAAGAGTCATATACAAGGCTGCTCTATTTACATAAGATTAGCAAATAAAACAAGTATTTAACTTAGAGAAATTCAATTTGAAAACAGGTTTCAGAGTAGCAGCCGTGTTAGTCTGTATCCGCAAAAAGAACAGGAAAACAGACTTCAGTGTTATGCTTCTAAGGTGATAGAAACAAAACTAGTATTTTTAAAAAGTGATTTAACCTGAAGCGCCCCCTTTGTAACGACCCCACCCCAAAAAAACCCCAACTCTTTATCTTGAGTCTTATTATCACATACAAAGGGATGGCTAAGAAACTAACCAAATAGTCTTATAAAACTAGTTTGCTATAATTAACTACAGACATCTGCTTTTCACAATCTCAGGTACCTTTTTACTGTGTATTCAGCATGACTGTGAGGAAATATGAGCTTCAAATGCCAGTAGAACCTTTGCTCCCTAAAAAGAAAGAGAAGGAAAAACACACACTAATATCTCCGAGATATTATCTGTATCATGGTAGGGTCTAGAGACCTCTACCAAGATGGGGTACTGTAAATAGTAAGAGACAGTCCCTGCCCCAAAGAGGTTACCATCCACATAAACACGGGGTGGGGGAAAAAGTATTATTATTATTCCCATATTAATATATGTGAAATTGAGGCACCAAGAGATTAAGCAATCTACAGGAAGGTCAGAAAGGAAAGCTGTGGTAGATTCAGGAACTGAACCCAGATCTCCTGAGTCCCTGTCCAGTTCCTTAATCAGAAGCTCCTTCCCTTCCTCTCTTGCCAACACAGTTAATTATAGAGCAAATTTTTATTAGGTATTTGGAAGCAGAAATTACCTACTGCAACATGGTTCAAAGTAAGACACATTCTTTATGGGAGGCAGTCAGACCTTCCTGACAGCTCTGGGCTGGGACTTGGGAGACCTGGGCTCTATTCTTGGTTCTGCCACTAGCCTGCTAGGTGACCCTGGGCAAGTCTCTTCACTTCTCTGCGCCACAGTTTTCCCATCTGTAAAACGGGAAGACAGACACTGACCATCTTTGTAAAATCCTCTGAGATCTACTGATGAACAGCACTATATAAGAGCTAGGTATTATTATGCAGCTGCTCCTTCTAGTTTAGAATTTCACACACAGCACATATAGTTAAGGTGAGGATAAACTGAAGCAGCATTTACAATGTTCCAGAGGTCTGACAATTCCCTGAAATTCAGGAACTTTTGATGGTACTTTTTTCAGCTATCCAAGATTTGAGACTCCTAATAACACCCCCAAAACCATCAAGTTTACAAAGGTTTACAAAATGATGATTAAAAATAATGTGCTGCTGTTGTAACAAAGTTAATTTGGATATCAGACAGATGAAACACTATACAGTTGGGTCCAGCTGGCTACAGAGGCATGTACGTGCATCCAGTAGCAAAACAGTAGACAACAAATTGGTTGCTAAGTACAATTAACTATGTTATTGCTTTTAGATGAGAGACTTGCAAAGTTTGTTCGCTGAAATAAACAATTATTCTTAACTTAGTTATTTCTAGGGGAAAGTTACAGTCCATACAGTATTTCAGATTACGTATTTAGCACAGAGAGTGTTGGATGCTTTTCTAAGAGGAGAGAAAACAAGGTCCTTACCTACATAAATCTTAGAATCTAAATAGATAATGAACGTATAGATGAATGTTAGGGTACAACAAGCAGCAAATGACTGAGTGGAGTTGTACAGAATGTCTTCTGAATTCTCCATTTCCATCCTCTTCCTCTGAACCACTTGTTAAAGTTTGTTAAAGGGGAGGATTAATATTTAGAGGCTTAAGTATGAATGTTTTAAAGAGAGACTGAATCGCAGTAGACCAGCTCAGGGAGAGGAAAGAGGATGCAAAGACAAAGGTTGGAGGAGGAGGGGTGGCTGTAATCAGGAGTTGGTACAGTTGAAAGTATGTGCCCTGTCTTCACATTTTAAGACATGCTGTTTGGTGTAATGGTATGGCATTTACTATTACAAGTTCCAAACTTGAACATTAATTTAAAAATAATTTTGAAAGCAGATTCTTGTTTTTAATGTTAAATCTGCCTTATGAAAAATTCTATCAAAAAATTCTTAGCACCTCTGGAGCTGGCAAACTCAAAGCAACATTAATATCACTGAACAATTGTACAGCAAACTGCAATGCTAATGAGGAAGGGCTTCAACTCAACTGACTATTAACAAGGTCACAATCCCCATCTCAGCTGTACTTTAATATTTAGCACTTAGAACATATGAACATAAGAATGGCCATACTGGGTCAGACAAATGGTTCATCTTGCCCAGTATACGGTCTTCCTACAGAGGCCAATGCCAGGTGCTTAAAAGGGAATGAACAGAACAAGGCAATTATCACATGATCCATCTCCTGTCATCCAGTCCGTGCATCTGACACTTACCCGGCATATACAGTGCAAAGCACTATTCCAGTATTTAATTAAAACTTGCTGTGGAACTAAAGGTGGGGGTGTTGTCAACTGGAAGGCAGGCTGCAGGATCACTACTGATAGTCACAATTGATAAGATGTACACTTATGTTGTAGTAGTGTTCAGAAGAGATATTTCATTTCTTGCTCTGAAAATAGGACCTAAGAACGAGGCTTGGCTTTTTCTTTTCCTTTCAGTTTGGGCAAAATGGTCTCACAGGTGAAATCATCTTCCTCCAGTACCTGTGTGTAGAGTGATAGGAAGAGGCAGTACCTGCCTATTCCAGGAATGAGCAGATTGCCCTTGGCAAAGTGCACAGTGCAACATGTGCATGCTCTAACACACACATTGAGCTGGAGACTACCTCTCTATCACCTCCACAGAGAAGGGCAGCATGTACCTAGAACTACTTGGGAACTTTTCAGCTCATCTACAAATCCAGCAATCACATCCAGCACTTCATACAAAAGGGAGATTCTTCCACCCATCCTTTTTGGCTCAGAGCAATAAGAGTGAGAGAAAGGTTGGGGATCTTCCTTTCCCAAAGGGCCCAGGACAGCTGTGAAGTGGTTAAGGAGACATTTCTCTGGCAGGAGCAGAGGGCTGCCTCCTCCAGACAGCTGAGAAGATTCATCAGCGCTTGTAGCAATCTGGTGCTCGAGATTACAATTTCTACTGACACACATCAGTACTTCTGTCACGCATCACAGCCTGATCTCAGAGGCAGGTCTAGTTCTTCTTTGAGTGCTTGTTCATGTCAATTCCAATCAGGTGTGTGTGTGTGTGCTGCGTGCACGACAGCCGGAAGATTTTTCCCTTAGCAATATCCATAGGGTTGGCTTGGGTGCCCCCTGGAGTCGTGCTTTCATGGCCCAGCTGACCCGACCCCCCACTCAGTTCCTTCTTACTGCCAGTGATGGCTAGCTGGAACTTCCCTCTCTCTTGCTTCTGCAAGCGCCTTTAGCAGTGTCCCATTGTGTATATAGTTAGTGTCTTAGTTAGTAGTAGTGTCAGTAGTCGTTTATCTAAGTTTCCATTACGGGGGTGCCCCCTCGTTTCTTCCCCGACACCGGGGGATGCCTCGGTCACCGGGGTTCAAATCTTGTGAAGTCTGCGGTAAACTGATGCCAAAAAGTGACCCGCACACTTCTTGTTTGAAGTGCCTTGGCGAGAGTCACCAAAAGGACAAGTGCCGCATTTGTAAAGGGTTTCAGCTGAGAACCCTTAAGGATCACGAGCAGAGACTCAGAGTTATCCTCATGGAGGCAGCCCTCCACCCACAGTCCGACTGGGTCAGCAGAGCCCGTACCGAGCACCACCTTCTCCGTGTGCAGCGCACCGGCGTCAACGGCGTGCAAGCCAACACCAGGAAAAGAGACTAAGGACTCCCGGCACCGACATGGCGCCAAACATAAGACTTCTGGCAGGTGCCGATCTTCATCCCTGGTGCCCCAGAAGAAAGAGATACGAGAGAAGGTGCTCTCTCCTTCCTAAGCCTAAGGAGCCAGCGGCAGGGAGACGCCAACCCACTCAGCCTACTTCGGGCCTGGTGGCTCCCAGGGGCTCGTCGACTCCTGCCCCTCAAGGGGTCCAGTTGAGTCTGGCCCACTATCATTCTCCAGATCTTCATGGCCGGGACATTCAACTCCCCTCCACTCCGGAGACTTTTGAGGCAGCGCAGGACCTTATTCGCTTGACAGCACCGCTTTCTCCAAGGAGGGACGAGGCACCGGTGATAACCTGGCCACCTATTTCATCTAGGGGCAAGCCGGCTATGATGTCACACCACTCCCCATCTCCGGCACACCACTCCACGGCCCTTTTGGACTCCCTGGGCTCAGAGCCTGGCGTCAAGATCGAGGTCAGCGTCAGTAATGTTGGCATCCTTCGCCTCCTCACAGCACCTGGTGCCGAGACGATCTCTGGAGACTATGCCGGTATCTCTGCCTGTCGCTCTGACCTCGGCACCGACGGCTGTCTCGGCACATCGACACACCAACGTGACCCTCTTGGCGATGAGGGCAGCGACCAAGGCCATGTGCCGGTGCTCTCGTCCTCCCCAGATGAGGCCATTGTGGGCACTTCAATGGCCCCGGCCTTAGAGGATAGCAGGGTCCTGCAACAGTTGTTGGGCAGAGTGGCCCAGAACATGAATTGGATAGCAATCTAAGCACCTCTTCTCCTAAATGAGATGTACCAAACTTAAAAATATTTATGCAACTTAGGTTATAAAATGTGTAGGCTTTTTAGCAGCTACTGGTTCTTCCTGAAAAAACATCATCTGCTCCCCCCTTACCCTGCCAAAAACTTTTTAAATTTGCAACATAAAGCAATTTCTTCAGCTATGCTTTTCCTATTTTCCCCACATAAACATACAAGCAAATAATCCATAACCAAACCAAGGTACTGTTCCTATAGGTAAGGAACACAGCAATTGTTAGTCTTTTTTTTCAATATTCGAGACACTCAGATATGATAACGGTGGCAGCTCTATGAGCAGCACAGTCATCACCTCCTCAGAGCAGGGGTTCTCAACCAGTTTTTTGGTGGCCTCAGAGTGTGGCCACCAACTCTTTCTGATGGCTGCTATGACAATTTTTTCTAAAATATTTAATTAACTTTGGGGAAAACAAATAAATATGCACATATACATATAGTAATTTATGTAGGGTTTTTCTGCAGACTCAATAATAAAAATAATGTACAGATGTCTATTCTTTACTGGACTTAAACTGAATAGAAACAAATAAGATGCTTTGCATGTTGTTTTGTTGTTATTTCTTTTGCTTTTTTGGTTGTGTGGTTTTGGGTTTTTTTGTTTTTTTTTACACTTGCTAGCTAGTAAGTCTGCGTCTGTGAAAAATGATATTTGTTAATATCACTTTTCACAGCAGCAGACTTGTTAGCTAGTTGGGAGGCAGAGAAAAGTGATAGTAACAAACAAAAATATCACTTTTCACAGCAGACTTGCTCAGCTATGGCAAACCGGAGGAC